GCTTCTCTCCCTGTCTGTGTCTCATGGAGAGCAGGCTGGGGTCTGTGAAAAGATGAATTCCTAATGCAAGAAATTGTAAAGGGTTAATAAAGAAACTTTAACATTATCATTATTACATTATTATCAGTGCAGTAAACTGTGGTAAAGCACAGTGTTGGTATGTTGGTATTGTGTTGTGGTGTACACAATAACTCCTTATAACCATAACCAGCCTTCTGTCTTCTTACAGGTAAGAGGGAGGACACTGTATCCTGCTGGTATCTCTGGGATAGAGGGAGGAGAGGGAATGGGAGAGGAGGGAGGAGAGAGATGGGAGAGGAGGGACAGAGGGAGGAGTGAGATGAGAGAGGAGGGAGGAGAGAGATGGGAGAGGAGGAGTACAGGGAGGAGAGAGATGGGTGAGGAGGGAGAAGAGAGATGGGAGAGGAGGAGTACAGGGAGGAGAGAGATGGGAGAGGGGGGAGGAGAGAGATGGGAGAGGAGGGACAGAGGGAGGAGTGAGATGAGAGAGGGGAGGAGAGAGATGGGAGAGGAGGAGTACAGGGAGAGGAGGGAGGAGAGAGATGGGAGAGGAGGGAGGAGAGAGATGGGAGAGGAGGGACAGAGGGAGGAGTGAGATGAGAGAGAGGGGAGGAGAGAGATGAGAGAGATGGGAGAGGAGTACAGGGAGGAGAGAGATGGGAGAGGAGGGAGAGAGATGGGGGAGGAGGAGTACAGGGAGGAGAGAGATGTGAAGGAAAGATCAGGATAGAGGAAGGACAGGAAGGGAGCAGAGCTGGGAGGTGAGGGTGTTAGGAAGTTGGGCGGAGGAATAGGCGCAGGGTGTCAGGGTGTCCGAGTCAGCATCAGCTCCTTGACCTGTGCCTGCAGCTGCCCTCTGCTCCACTGCAGGTCCTGCTGTACCTCAATGGCTGGTACTTTGCTGTCTTCTTCATTGCTGAAATTCTCATGTTCGTGTACAAAGGTTAGTGCCCTCTAACCCTGAGCCTTAATTAAAACACACTCATGTCGAACAACATGATGAACGTGAATTTGAATATCTCCTGTTGTTTTGATCCCTCAATAAACAGTAACCCCTCTCTCTCTCTAGGGTGTTATATACACTAACCCCCCCCTCTCTCTCTGTAAGGGTGTTATATACACTAACCCCCCTCTCTCTCTGTAAGGGTTTATATACAATCAATTCAATTCAATTAAAGGTCCTTTATTAGCATGACCGATGGGTACAATCAGTGTTGCCAAAGCAAATGAAAGTAATGATATTTACATTAAACAAAACAAAAAAAAAGGGTTCTGTAGCATTCCAGTTGATGCTGTGTTTGTGTGTGTGTATCCCAGTGTGTGAGATATTGCTGTTTGATCTGTGCTGTGATGTGGTTGAGTCTGAGTTGTGGTGCTCTAGCAGTGCTGTCCTGATGCTGGTTAGTGTTGGTGTGGCTCAGGTCAGTGAGCCTCAGGACCAGCTGGCTCAGGGGGCTCTGTTTTGGGCTCAGCTCTTGGCTCTGCAGGGCTTTGTGGTGGTAGGAATTTTGGTCACTGTTTTTTAGGTGTAGCCAATACTTTAATACTCTTTTCTGTATGATTATCAATAGTGGGTACTGGCCTAATTCAGCCCTGCATCTGTTATTAGGTGTTTTTCTCTGCACATGGAGGATATACACTAACCCCTCTCTCTCAGGATGTAATATACACTAACCCCTCTCTCTCTCTCAGGGTGTAATATACACTAACCCCTCTCTCTCTCTCAGGGTGTAATATACACTAACCCCTCTCTCTCTCTCAGGGTGTTATATACACTAACCCCTCTCTCTCTTAGGGTGTATATACACTAACCCCTCTCTCTCTCTCAGGGTGTTATATACA